GTCTTGGAGAAGAAGACATCATCAATTTGATTGGTCCTTCATGATTTGATATAATCTCTTTCCTTATCCTAAGATTTGATATAATCTCTTTCCTAATCTTAAGATTTGACTTGGTGAACAAGAAATAATAACATTATTCATTATATATCTTATTTATTATAGATTTATGTAAAAAAATAAATAAAGACATTAATTAATAAAATATTAAAATTTCGATGTCTACAGGGATATACAATAAACAATTAAACAAACTAAAAGCACAACAACGAAGTTTAAAAAAAAAAAAGATAAATGCTATATGTACATAATACTTTACATAGAGGTGTACATAACACTTACATTAAGTGGGTCCTATCATAAATAAAAAATCAAGTGAACCCCATTACATGTGAGTGTTATGTACACATCTATATACATTTATTATGTACTTGTAGCATTAAAAGAAAAAGAAAACAAAAATCAGAAAGAAAATCTTGCATTCGTAGAAAAAAATGATATTTTCATCATCGGTTGATTTTCTGTTAGGCTGTCCAAATAGTCATACATTTTTAACAAATATATATACTTATACACTNAAAATATATATTTTATAAATAAAAGTATGACCCCCCCTTATTTTTTTGTCAAGGCATCAAATTTTGCTTAACTATAAACCTTAAGCACAAATTGAAGGAGACACAACAGTATTCAAATGAAATTGCACAAATTACAACTTGTTTGAAATTAGTTTATATTAATTTGTGTGGTTATTAGATTAATGTAACGAACCTTATTCAAATCTTGTTTGACAGAAACTGGGAGAAAACGGGTGCGGGCCCACTATCATGAAACACACCATGAACGGAGAAAAGCCCATATGAAGCCCAAATAATGTTCCACCCCAAAACAAATTGGTGGAAGGAGGAGTAGCCTATTAGACTTATAAGATGAGTCTATTTTTTATGTATGGATGATGTGGGACAACTCACAAGTGATATTCTAACATGCCCCCTCACTTGTGAGTCTTTCGAAAGCCCAAGTCCAACTGACTGGGTATGTATGGATGATGTGGGACAACTCACAAGTGATATTCTAACATTCCCCTTCACTTGTGAGACCTTCGAAAACCCAAGTCCAACAGGCTGGGTGACGGGTACGTCATCGCCGGTCATCAACAGAACCGACTGGATGATGTGGGACAACTCACAAGTGATATTCTAACATGCCCCCTCACTTGTGAGTCCTTCGAAAACCCAAGTCCAACTGGCTGAGTGACGGGTACGTCATCGTACGGTCACCAATAGAACCGGCTCTAATACCATGACAGAAACTGGGAGAAAACAAGTGTGGGTCCACGGGTACGTCATCGCCGGTCATCAACAGAACCGACTGGATGATGTGGGGCAACTCACAAGTGATATTCTAGCATGCCCCCTCACTTGTGAGTCCTTCGAAAACCCAAGTCCAACTGGCTGAGTGACGGGTACGTCATCGTACGGTCACCAACAGAACCGGCTCTAATACCATGACAGAAACTGGGAGAAAACAAGTGTGGGTCCACTATCATAAAGCGCACCATGAACGGGGAAAAGCTCATATGAAGCTCAAATGAGGTTCTATCCCAAATCAATTGGTGGAAGGAGGAGTAACCTATTAGACTTATAAGGTATGTCTATTTTTTATGTATTGATGATATGGGACAACTCACAAGTGATATTCTAACATTGTTTAAGGTAAACTATGGGTTAATTTCTTCTAATGAAATAAATATAGTTGATCAACTATATTTTTCCTAAACTGGAAATTCGTAATACATATTCATTTGAATATTCTTACAGGTTACACGGAGTTTCAACTTAAACTTAGCAAAATCTTCTTGGACTTGTGCTGCCTCCGGACATTCAACAAGGAACTGCTGCATGGTCGATGTAATGCCCAAAAAACGGTCCACCCACTAAAAAAATGGAAGAATAAAAAGATATGACTAAAATTTATTAAAAAAAATTATTGTAATAAAATAACAATAATTAAAATTTAGTAACCAACTTACATAGGCGGTATTGACACGCGTAGGGACCTCGTTCTCGTCCGGCAGCTCCTCGCCCATGAGAGTCGGATGGAAAACCCGACTGTACCACTGCAAGTAATCCTCAGTCGCCTCCCCCGCGATCATGTGTGGTGGGGGTGAACATAGCGGTGTTGACCGTCCCAGAAATCGGGAACTGGGTCCAGGCACCTACTGCAGCAGCCTCAGAATGCTCAACCTTGTAGTTCCTAGACTTCCAAGCACGTAGTGCACTGATTGGCGGGTTAATTTGCTTTGTGTTGAACCTTCTAATATTTTATATATGACGATACTAGTGGGTCGGTGGCTGTGCACGCACAACCAACCCTAAATCAGTGTATAATTATATCTAATATTTAGAAAAAAATTTAGAACACATACCTACATTTTATGGTATTTATAAATTTAGCTTGAAATAACTTGACATCAATTCGAGTTTAGTCGATAATCCCTAAATATTTATTGTTTTTCCGGTCGCCTAAAAATATTGCAGTTTTAAATGTGTAAAATCTTATCCATGTATTTGCTTGCCTCGTAAGACTACAAATACAAAAATTTGACAACATTTCTAAAACCAAATTGAAATTACTTGATATCCATCCATTATAAAGCAAGGAGTATAACATGATAAAATATTCAACAATGCTAATTTATTAAGTAAAAATAAAATAAATAAATAAATCTTCCATTAAGGCAAATGAGGTGGTGTAGGAGGTGGTTGATAATGTCGATTGAGGCCTATATATGTGCAGTTTCTCGGCATTTTGTTCGAACTCTTGATGACAAGAATCATGTTTTAATGCAAAGAGATATGACATCATTGCAAATGGACACACAATTTATGCCAAAATAACTTACAACAATTTATGCCACTTTATTCACAATTCTCATCAATGTGCTCGTAAGAAAGCAAATTTATTTTAATTCGATGATTGGATGAAATAAATAGTACATTATAATAACATATTTTAAACAATGGAAATATTAAATCATTTTCCAAACAAATGGACAGGCTATAGAATATTAAGAGGATAAGAACATCAAAGTAATTAGAATGCCTACTGCTTACTGGAAATGAACATATATAAAAATTCAAATAATCTAAAACAAAGGAAATGAGAAAAAAAAGCAGGACATATTTGTTATTTAACCCAACGCCATGTTTATTAGCGATATACTAATGTAAAATACTCATAAACAACTATTAAGTCCAAAGTTTCTAGAAAGCTTGAAATTAGATTCAGACATCAAAAAAGAGAACAAAAAATAAATAAAAAAAATAGACATTTTGTGGCTGACATTAGCACTGGACCTCGATATATTTATACCTTCTTTGCAGCTGCTCTACACTACAGATCCTCTCAAATGCAAAGCACCATATCCATTCTCCATTTTAGAGGCTGGAATAAAAGTCAGTGGTTAAAGTATATGGGTGTAAAATAAAAAATTAGAAAGACTGGCTAAGACAACAAAAAAAGCACATAGAGATTGTATTCAAAAGCTTCAATATAATCAAGCAACCTAAAAGTAAACAAAGTCATTAAAGAGATCGCATGCTCATGCAGTACCTCATATTCTTGCGAGGCTTGTCTAACCATATTCATACATTTGGCCAACTCGAGTAGTATAAATACATACAATTGGCAGCATTTCAAAATGTAAATTGAAAGTTTGATATGAAGCCATCATAAAGGTAAGTGTCCTACAACATGATAAAATATCCAACAAATATAGAAAGAAAAGGTATTTTGCTTCTTATCACCAGAGAAGGATAAGTTCCCAAATATTTATTGCATTTTTGTGGTGCTAAAGACAATATAGTCCAGCTTCTTACTCCTCTATTCGCGGCCAATTAGAGTCCCGAGTGTGACAGGTTGATGTACTTGCTTCATTTTGGATACCTTTGCCTGGCTCATTTTAGTACACTTCATTTCAGCATTGTTGGAACCTTCATTTCTAAGCCCTACACAACTTGCAAAATAAGCACACATCCCACAAACATCATTTAAACAAAATTCAAAATGCTTGATCTACATCACCCAAACACTATTCCCAATAATCCAGAGCAACAATTTAAAAGACCAAAAGTCACCTGTTTCTATAAACAACATCAAAAGACGAAAATTAAGTTCCAATTACTCAAAATAGATGCAGGGTTCCAATAATAACTACCTATCAGCAGCTACTCCTCAATTCTACCTTCAATTGACTAAAAAAAAAATAATTCACGTGAAAAAACAAGCACAATGTATCAATACAACTCCCCAAAAACCTCCATGCGCAGTTTAAAAAAACACTAGGTGGACTTGATGGCGGACTCCTCCGGCACAAAGCCTATGCGCGCTTGCGCTCCTTACCAAGATCACGGAGTTATAGTCATTCGTCTTAGTAACAATTAGATTAATAGATCAAACCAGTTTTGCACAGATAGAACTCAAGGTATAACTACATCCAATGGCCAGACAAACATGAAATTGGTGCACTGGCAAAGCATCATAAACCTCATGGGCAATGACGATTGTAGTCACTGAAACACAAAACAAAGCAAAAACACTACATACTATGGTAGGGTGCCTTTCATATTGATACCTCATGCACACAAGCAGCAATATCTCTACATGTTATAGCTCACATCACACGTCAATAATTTAAACCAAAAAACATGTATGATTTGTTACTGGTCGTCAACTATATATATAACAAACTTTAGTTACAAAATCACCATGCAGATGGAAATACAACTTAGCAGGCAGCTCACCAATCACCATAGCGTCGAGAGAAACAAAACAGAAAAAAGAAAATAAAAATATATTAAGAAAAAAAGTATAAAACGTAGTAAAATATGTTCCTGAAATCCTTTTGGAACATATTCGAGAACTGCATGGCATGACATTGTGCCCCAACTGTAGATCTAAGACATCTTCCTGCCAACTTGATCCTAGGGATCAAAGAAAGTTTATGCATACCTAAAATCTGTCGATCGATCTTTTCCCTGCCAACCCATTTCCTTCCACTGTTTTGATTTTAATCCACGGAATTCCTCTCCAGGAAAGGCAGCATGCCACAAAGCCCTCAAAGCTTCATATAAAGAAAATGGAACTGATTTGATGAGAAAGTGGAACTAAAACTTATTAAAGCTCTCTCATCTGCAGTTCTATGAATTATACCTGATGTTAAGGAACATAACTATCATAGTTAACATCTATCCGGTTCTGTAGCCTATGCAAGCATTCCTCCTAATGCATAGAGTAATTCAGAATCATCAGAATCTAGTGAAGTAGGCACCAATTGTGGGATATTAAGAGAAAAATAGTAACAGAAACCATGGTTTAAATAATTCAATAAAGCTGAAAATTACCTGGTGTCAAATCAAATGATGGGCGGGAATCACAGTCTCTTCCTTGAACACAAACACACTCAAGGCTTTTGCCTAGCCATGCAGCAGACCCTGCCACAACCTCCACTGTAACAAAAGGAAATGATAGGCAAAGATAAACAAAGTAATATATTAAGAGTCCATTCCTAGTTCCTGCTGAAAAGATGCAACATACTTTTATATCGAGATTCAATTTTTCTCCAAGTATGTATGTACTCATGGTTTCTTTACATAAAATTACTAAAGTACTACATTACGTTGAATAGTTTAGAGTTAAAACAAATATACTATACAGGAAATGCAAAAGCTCTACCATATACACTCTTTCGCCCTTAATCACAGAACAACCTTTACACATTTAAAAAACTCTAACACAAATCTAGAATAAAAGGAAAACAAAAACTCCGGAGCAGGTCTGAGAAGGATGACATTGAGGCAATAACAGTTATGAAGTTTATTAATCCTATTCAAAACCCTGCAATTTATCACTGCTATAGAAGGTCCTGTATGTGAAATTGTTTTACCAAATCGTAACAGATTAAAATCTTATCAAAACATAAATCAACTATTCCGTTCTTTAAACAAATTTTCTACAAAAATAAAAACAATACAAAACTTGTATAAGTACGCCTAATTGCTGAAACCAACTTCACCAAAGTGCGGCGCATTTAAAAAAAAAACAGAGACAAACTCCAAAAATAGAAACAATGGAAACAACAAAAAATATCAACGCAAGTAGGCATCAATTAACATAACTTCCTCGATTTCGTTATTCTTCAACATGCACTTCAGACTTTAGTACACATTATATTCATGCAGTTATGCATATAGACACATAGTGGAAAGAGACGAAAATCAGAATACCATTTCGAGAAAAAAGATGAAAAAGTTAGAGAGAGAAAACACTAAAGATAACGCACTCAGAAACGATCCCAAAAGGAAAAGGAATATACCAGAAGTAGAATGGCATGCGCTTCCTCGATCGAGGCCTCTGAGAAATACGCCGCACGACAACAAACGATCCTCGGTATTCACCTGCACAGGAAATTATGTCAAAGAATTGAACCTTCACAGGTGATATTGCAAATAAAATAAGATAGCAATGGAGAAGGAATACATACTCATTATTAACCAGTATAATGTCCCTAGCAAACATAGTTGCTCCAAGTTGCTTAGCTGGAAACGCATGCGCATCCAAAACAATCTCACAACCGCTTCCAATTCTATTTCGCCAACCGAATTCGAAAGAAGTCGAAATTCGGAATGGCCGACGGCGGCACTTCTCGAACCGGCTGCTATCAAGAAGAAAAGGAAGATCTATCCAACATCAAACGAAGAAAAAAGTGAGAAAAAAATTGAAAACCACATTTCTTTTACATTTTCAAGCAGTTGAAACAGATTGTTGAGGCTTTGGATAGCTTGTTCGGGCGCGATGAAAATGGCAGCACAGAGGTTCTTCTCTCTCTCTCTACATATACATATAACTGTCGTCATACATTAATGAAATAAAATTATCTGAAATTAACAAACAATGTGAAAGAGCACATGAAATAAAATTATCTGAATTCAACAAGAAAAATGAAAGAGCACAAACTTGATACTGTCCCAAACAGCTACAAGCTCCAAACAGAGCCAACAAGCGCATAACCCTTTGCAGCTCTCTCTATGAAAAANACTATGAAAAAAAAAAAAAAAGAAAAAAAACCAAACAAATTTCAATGGAGAAGGAAGCCATGGCGGTCGCCGGTAGGTGGCGATAGGTTATGAAAAAACATATTAATTTGAAATAGTTGTGTTAAGTCCCTCACTCTGTAGAGGACTCCCCTGGCGGCGCTGAGGCGGAAGAAGCTGAGGATGGGGATTGGGGAGTGTGAGTCTGTTGACGGTGGTCAGACCCTCCGTCGTTGTTCGCTGCGTGCGACCCAGATGCTGCCTCCGCACGCCGACAACGCCGTTATATCCGCCTGCGTCGCCTCTGCTCCTTTCGTCTTTAAGCTCGGAAGACGGAGCAAATTTGTGAAAAATTTTGATCTGGCAGGAGGATGATACAGAGAGATGAAGAAGAGAGATCTGATTTTTTGTCAAAGATACGAAAAAGATTTTGGAGTTTTTGTGAGATTTTGGATGCAGATCGTACACGCGTTATACTCTAAAAGCAGTTCAAAAGAATATAAATAAGGGTCATTTCAGTCAAAAGGTTATAAATGAAAGCTGAAGTCTGTGTAAAGAAAAGATGGCATTACGTGTAAAAAGAAGACCAATTGAGGGGCATTTTGGTCCAAAAAAATCGCCACGTGTCATGACTACAATACCTCACACTTTTACTATGTAAGAGAGAGATACAATCCTTGGAGCATCTCTAATGCATTCTTTTGAAAGGGTAAAAAGTTATCCACCTAATTTAGATAGAAAGTGTGTGAATAATATATCCTCCAATGCATTAGATTATGGGCCCTTTCATGCTTATGTGTAAAAAATTAATGTTAACATTGTCAAGTTCACTTTCTAATTTCTCACATTCTTTCTAACATGATGACTCATTATTTTAATAATTATTTGACACAAATTTTGAGCTTTTCATAAACTTGAAAAAATCTCACCCTTACATTTATCCAATAAAACATTTGAGAATTTATTTGAATACAGTATAATTATTTGATGAGTTACAACTAAAATTTAAAAAATTTATCAATAATAATGTCCTTAAAAGTAAAATATTATGTTCATGATATTTGTTTGTTGAGTTATTGCAATTTTAATATTTTGTTGTTTTATTTTGAACCAATTAAAAAAATATTTATTGTGTGGTTATACATATTGTAACTGAGAAATTATTGAATAAATAATAATTTTATAAATTTGATGATATAAATAAAAATTAACTGAATCAACAAAAAATAACATCATGCATATAATTATTGGAATTTGTGGTTTTTTTCTAATATACTCTTTGATTTTATTAATAATTGAATAAATCCACATATACAAATTGTATGGTTGTTGAATGGATGCATTGGAGGCAACAATTCAAATGAAAGTCATATTCTTTTAACATTCAGTTTATGTAGATTAAACATTAATCCATTGATTGACATGTGTTTAAATTTAATTAATGTTGAAAGTTGAGCATTGGAGATGCTCTTAGAGCATCTCCAATGTGACTTTTGAAATTGTAAAAATTTATCCATATCATCAACTCTTGAAATTTTGTTACTAATTTATTCTCCAATGCATCTTGTCATTAGCTATTTCATGATGATGTGGATGGCATTTAATATTGACATTGTTGAACTCACTTTCTAATATCTAACACCATGTTAAACATGATGACTCATCTATATTTGATTTATTTTTTTATTATTTTTGTATCACAATTATTATAATTGGTCCACCTATACAAATAACTTCTTATCAAATTGATGCATTGGAGATACTAATTTGATTCAAATTTTCATTCTTGAAGTTTGTTACTAATTTATTCTCCAATGCATCTTGTCATTAGCTCTTTCATGATGATGTGGATGACATTTAATATTGACATTGTTGAACTCACTTTCTAATATCTAACACCATGTTAAACATGATGACTCATCTATATTTGATTTATTTTTTTATTATTTTTGTATCAATCAATTATTATAATTGGTCCACCTATACAAATAACTTCTTATCAAATTGATGCATTGGAGATACTAATTTGATTCAAATTTTCATTCTTTTAACATTATTCCTATGTGAATTAACATTACAATCATTAATTGACATGTGTTATAAATCATTGGCTTTCAAAAGCATAGCATTGGAGATGCTCTTATTCCAAGTTACAAACAAATTGTGAAGAGAAGTTTGGTGTAAAGTAGTACCTTTTTATGAGGTCTTTTATCTTCATTTATGTTTTTAACTATTTTGCTCATAAAAAAATTTAAACGACCAAATTGATTTAAAAGAATAATTGAAATAGGCACTTGACGTTTATAACTATTTATATTTAATTTAAGAGAGCATCGTGTAAGTAACACAAACTTCAAGAACTCGATTATATTTTCGTACACTAAGTTGGACTAGTTTTGATCCAAAAGGTTGATCCCTGAATATAGGAAAAAATACTAGTCTCTTAATTATTAGAATGTATTATATACACTCAGAATTCAATTCATCAAAAGTTCTTCCCTAATTTCAAAAGTAAACAATTTAAGAAATATAATTCATGTATATGAAAGGTGTTCTTTTCCAAGTCCCGTGTTATTCTATTATTTCAGACTGAATGTTTAATTCCAAAACAAAGGCAATCAAATGTTTCAAATTAATTATCTTTTAAAGAAAACAGTACAGAATAACACGGGAGTTGGAAAATTAACACCTTTTATATACGTGAATTATATGACGAAACATGGTAGAACACGCGGTTGCATGATAAAAAGTCGCAAGACTTACAACAAACCCACTTNCCTTATCAAGGCTGCTGAATTTCATAGACGGGCTTTGGTCGAGCTGTGGGGACGAACGTATCATAATATTCACGACCAATCACAAAGAAAACGGCCGCATGGATGTCCATATCCACATGTCCTACTGTACTTCATGTGGCAAAAAACTACCTGGGAACTACAGAAACCTGCTCATGCCCAAAGCCGAGTTGCTAATAGCTTCAACCAAAGTGACCCTAGCTGAAGTTGACGAACAACTTTTGAAATGTGACGATCCTACAAATTCGCTCGAGGGCCTTATTAAGTTCCTCGATCAGAAAAAGCTAAACTTGGATGTGACTAATGGTGTTGAGTCGAATTTGGAGACTGGTCTCGGTTTTGACGAGCTTAACGAAATCTTGAAGAAAGCTCCTGAGGAGATGAGTGAAAGGATACTTAAGAAAGATGAGGCTGCTAATGCCTTGAAAATCTTGATTGGGTTTCTTGAGGAGATTGGAGCTGACAAGGGTAAACATTGTGGTGCGAGTTTTGAATCTTCTGCTGCGATTGTGTTGGAATCTGGTAAACAAGACGAGATCGAAACTGAAGTGTGAAATGAGAATGGTGAGATTTTGGTTTTGAGTTAAGTTTGCAAGTGTGAGAAATAAGAATGGTGAGATTTTGGTTCTGAGTTAACTTTGAAAGTGTGTGGTGAATAATGCAATGGCATGACTTGGGGCTCATCATTTGGAAACTTTTTTTTAGTATTTGGTTAATGATTTGTCTTCATGAACAGTTTTACAAGATGAGATCGAAACTGAAGTGTGAAATGAGAATGGTGAGATTTTGGTTTTGAGTTAAGTTTGCAAGTGTGAGAAATGAGAATGGTGAGATTTTGGTTCTGAGTTAACTTTGAAAGTGAGTGGTGAATAATGCAATGGCATGACTTGGGGCTCATCACTTGGAAATTTTTTGTTAGTCTTTGGTTAATGATTTGTCTTCATGAACAATTTTTTCTTATTGAGCAATTCAACTGTATAATCATAACAAGTATAATCATATGTTATGGTGTACCATCTCTCTTTTAAAAGTCTGACCTTCAATGTGTAGTTTGTATTTAACGGGCTTACTTTATCTGCAGTGGCCATTTCTATTTGGATTAAAGGCCCATTACATCGGCCCAGTTACATTCTATTTCCCCTTGCCCCTTGCTGTATTCACTGCAGTAAAGTAAGTCCGTTAAATACAAACTACACATTAAAGGCCAGACTTTTAAAAGAGAGCTGGTACACCATATCATATGAATATACAGTTGAATTTAAAAAACTGTTCATCAAGACAAATCATTAACTAAAGACTAACAAAAAGTTCCCAAATGATGAGCCCCAAGTCATGTCATTGCATTATTCACCACACACATTCAAAGTTAACTCAGAACCAAAATCTCACCATTCTCATTTCTCACACTTGCAAAGTTAACTCAAAACCAAAATCTCACCATTCTCATTTCACACTTCAGTTTCGATCTCATCTTGTTTACCAGATTCCAAGACAAACGCAGCAGAAGATTCGAAACTCGCACCACAATCTTAGCTCCAATCTCCTCAAGAAACTCAATCAAGATTTTCAAGGCATTAGCAGCCTCATCTTTCTTAAGTATCCTTTTACTCATCTCCTCAGGAGCTTCTTTAGCTTTCTTCAAGATTCTATTAAGCCCGTCAAAACCGAGACCAGTCTCCAAGTTCGACTCAACGCCATTAGTCACATCCAAGTTTAGCTTTTGTTGCTCGATGAACTTAATAAGGCCCTCGAGCGAATTTGTAGGATCGTCACATTTCAAAAGCTGTTCGCCAACTTCAACTGGGGTTACTTTGGTTGAAGCTATTAGTGACTCGGCTTTGGGCATAAGCAGGTGTAGGTAGTTTTTTGCCAACAATTGGAAGCCACATGAAGTACAGTAGGACATGTGGATATGGACATCCATGCGACCGGGCCGTAAAAGGGCCGGGTCGAGCTTTTCTTTGTGATTGGTCATGAATATTATGATATGTTCGTCCCCACAGCGACGTCTATGAAATTCAACAGCCCTATAAGGTAACCTTAAAAAAAAAATAAAAAAAAAAAGTGGGTTTGTTATAATGTCTTGATTTTGAGTCTTGCGACGTTTTAACGTGTAGTCGCGTGTTATCTACCATGTTTCGTCATATAATTCACGTATATGAAAGGTGTTATTTTCCATGTCCCGTGTTATTCTGTACTGTTTTCTTTCTACAATTCATGGTATAGAATTTTGCAGTCCTATCAAAGTAGCCATGCGTTCACTTTGATTCAATGATATACAGGGATTCCCACATGAAAAAAGCAAAATGTATAAAACTTATAAAGAACAAGTAAATCTCAATTGAATTCATTGGTGGGAATTCAGAATGCCGAATTCGGACGACATTCACATATGCACCTGATTTATCTTGCGAGCATTTAGCAAGCTTTACCCCTTAATGTCAGCTCTAGAAAACATAGCTAAGATCTACAGCAATATTTTAAGGCATCATTCTAGTTTGTGCATATATCTCCAGTAACACCTCTGTATGGTTCATGTTGCAATTATTTCATTTTCTTGTATCACAACGGGATATTTAACTTACTTGTCAACCCGTCTTCCAGGGCTCACATCTTAGCTCGATATTAACACTTACAATATTACATTCAAAATGCATTTATTTGGCGCATATAAAATATTTTATTTTTGAAAAAAAAAAAAGTGCCATACCCCAGCCGCTTTGGAAATCGGGTAAGCGCAGCCACACTTTGGTTTTGCTGGAATTAGACTGGTAGTTAGCCACACTGACAGTTTATTACAAGTGTAATAATTCTGATGCTAAAATAAGTGGGTGAGTGAATGTTAAAACAACGAGAGATGGGCTGTTATTAACACTTAAAAGGTGTAAAAACATAAGGTACTTGGCAAATCTACAATGGCGAACCACAACAGTTAACTTGGGCAGAAATATTGCCGTACTAGAAGGATAGTTGTACTTGCATAGGGAGTGGACACGAAATTATATCATTTCCACATAGCAATGCAACTCAAATACTGCAAATATCATGTCACAAAATGAATCCATCTGTTAGACCTTCTCCAACCGGTGCGCAAACGCATCTTGAGATGGAATATTTTTCTCCAACCGATCGGCAAACTCAAACGCAAAATGCGTATTTGGTCATTTTCTCTCTCCTCCCAACGCAAATTTGCGTTTTACTGTTGATGAACGCAAAAAAATTAAAATCTTTGCAATATGGTCCTTCTCAGTATGTTGTTCTTTTATTTCAGTATATAATTGGCTATTTTTTTAATTTTTTTTTCTACATCTGTGTTTTCCGATATGTAGAGTATATATTCCTATGCATTGTTTAGTAATTTTTTTTTAATACACTACCCATAATACAGTTATATATAGTACTTTTTATGTTTTATTGTATCATATATTTAATTATAAAATTTTCTATATATTTTATTTTGTATGTTTTATACTATTATATATTTTAGTATGTATTTTGATACATATTTTGCATTGGTTTTTTTCATTTTTCTATTGTCTCATAATAAAATATATAACTAGCAAAAATTTGATTTCTCATTTTGTGAGTTGTAATTTTTAATTTTATCTTGCGTGTTGTAATTTTTAATGTGCGTTGTAATTTTTAATTTTATCTTGTGTGTTGTAGATTTTTAATTTCTCATCTTGTGCGTTGTAATTTTTAATTTTATTGTTGTAATTTTAAATTTTAATTTTTAATTACTATTTATTTATCCGATTTTATTATGTATATGATTATAACTTTATAATTAATTTATTACATAAAGTCCAAACTGAATTGAAAATAATAGTGTGGTTTAATTTATAAAATTATAAAATATGTAGGTAGTATTGAAAAGTTGTAAAAGTTGATGTAAAAGAGAATATTCTGAGAATATTCTTTTGGGTTGGAGAATGGGTTTTTCGGTTGGAGATAAATTACTGCAAAATGGAATAATTACTGCAAAATGGGTTTGAATATGGAGTATTCGGTTGGAGATGGCCTTACAACCTAACTAAAATGAGGCAGAAAATCATCCTTGAGGGTGAAATAAACCAGATAAAGTTCATAAGCCACAATTATACACAGCAATTATGCAACCAATAATCATCATCATCAACAACAACAACAACAACAACAACAACAACAACAACAACAACAACATACCAGTATATTCCCAACAGGTTGGGGTCTGGGGGGTCAGTTGTACGCAGACCTTACCCTTGTAATTATACAAGGAGGTTGTTTCCGTAGCGACCCAAGGTGCATTTTGCGCCGTTTGATATATTTTTTTTCTAGAAACTTCACCCATGAATTACCAGAGAGAAAATCACCAACCTTAGAATTTAATTGAGTCATTTTGATCTAGTCCATTATTAGCACTATGCCAGGAGAATTATCAACAATGACTCTTCCAGCTCCATTTGCAATGGACAATGATAAANAAGTAAATCCAGCCAAACAGCAAAAGAGTATAAAAATAGACCTTTTTGGTGGCAATCAACTCAGCTTCGAGAGCATCCACCCGATAAACGGCAGCATTGAGTAGCTCCTCTTTCTCGCACGGCATTGCAGAAGGCCTCGATTCCAACAACCCCACTTTCTCCTCGAGCTCTCCAAGCTTCTTCATCACTGTCGAAAGCACCTCAGCTTCAGTGAACGAACGCATGGGAGATGGAGGCCTCAGCTCCTCCTTAGGGCCCGTCTCGAAACTAAATTCCTCATTCGTCTGCACAGGAGCTTCCGGAAGCTTCCTCGCAGCACGGCTCGATAGTGAACGGAAAAACAAGAAAAGGGTCATGAAGAAGGCCAGAAGCCGCGCGTGGATTTTTTCGGGAAGTTAAATTAAAATTGACCTCATAACATTAGTTTAACAAAAAAGAAATACCATAAGCCAACAAAACCTAGTGACAGGCCATAATAAAAATTGCTCGCAGAAAGACAATATAACAGGAATATTCGTGGCTTGAGAGCTCAATCGCAGCCGGCCTTATTGTACACATAAGTCAACCCACACTTACCGCAGTAGTGCCTGTCTAAGTGGTTCGCCATGAACGTCCCGGCGCCACACTCAGCATTCGGTCACTCCTTCCTAAGCCGCTGCACCTTGCCGGAATCATCCACCTTGTAGAACTGGAACACGGCGAGCTTCACCTTCTTCTTCTTGTGCTTGATCTTCTTCGGTTTGGTGTAGGTCTTCTTCTTGAGCTTCTTAGCGCCGCCGCGGAGGCGGAGCACGAGGTGGAGGCTTGACTTCTTCTGGATGTTGTAGTCGGCGAGGGTGCGGCCATCCTCGAGCTGCTTCCCGGCAAAGATGAGGCGCTGCTAGTCGGGGGGATGCCTTCCTTGTCCTGGATCTTGGCCTTGACGTTGTCTATGGTGTCGGAGGACTCGACCTCAAGGGTTATCGTCTTACCCGTTAGGGTTTTGACGAAGATCTGCATCTTCGCTGGGGTTTGGATAGCAATTGCAATTGGCAAATGAAATGGAGAGGTTGCGATGCAGTGATGGGGAAGACGAAGCTATTTATATGGATTAGGGTTTAATGTGTACCATGGGACATTTATTTTGGATCGCCTGCCATAGTTTGTTGGTCTCGAATCGAGACCATGGTGTGAGATTAAGCCCACAAACACATTTAGGACTTAGGATTAGGGTTCGGATTTCATACTCACAAAATGGAACAAGATCAGACTGAAAATAATCGGTTCTATCGAGTTATTTATAACATAATATACCGAATTTATTTTTTAACTGAGTAATTAATTAGTTGAAAAAAAAATAAATTTATTATAACAATTATTTATGTAATTTTAAGAAATTTTACTATGATATAAAAATATTTTGATTTATTTAAAAACAATCACTTAATCAGATAAAAAATATAATATTAATTTTAGTATAAATAACTTTACCAAAAAGGTTTTACAACATAATATTTTATGTTTGTGTATTTTTCATATATCATGTAGTGCAAAATATAATTATTAATCTTAATCATAAGTATTATATAATATAATAAAAAATCTATGTAGTACTCATATAATATAAAATATAACGGTTTTTGTCTTAATTAACCTAAAAAAGTTTATTTTATCATTAATGAGATACGGTGAATAATACTAATAATAATAATGGATTGTAATGATTTTTATGTTAAGAAAGTTGCCACAAAGATAAAATTTTTGAGGTAAAATTTTACTTTTTGGCTAGTTATATATATATATATATACTAATATTCGACATGTGCATTTGCATAAATATAAATAAAGTATTGTGAGTTATTTGTATGCATATAAGATTAATAATTTTTCTTGTACTTTTTTGCATACCAAATTTACAATTAAATGATTTTTCTTGTACTTTTGTGCATGTCAAATTTACAATTAAATGAGCTGGAATATTTATTTTTTAAAATTACGTTTATTATATTGGATGTAATGTATATTTTGGTATGTATTTTTTTTTTGTGAATTATTTATTATTTATTTAGGAATTTCAAATACGTTTTTTATTTTCCAAATGAAGTTAATTTAAATGTAACCACAACAATACCATCTAATCACGTTAAATAGTCAACACATTATATGGTTCGCTGTAAGCAAATCAAAAGTTTAAAATGGTTTTTGTAAGTTTGAAGTGATTAGTGCGTTGATTATCTAATAATTAAATGAGAGGTTAAATAAATAAAAAGTAACGCGGTTTTTGGAGGGAAAAAGTTATATTGCCACATAGGTATAATTTAATAGGTTTTATTAAATGCTCATTAGCCAACAATTATATATGTATATATATATATAAGCATACAAAAATGTATTTAATTGTTAATTATATAATATTTAATTTCATGATTGATGTTGTTAATTATATAATAGTTTTAAGTTTTGCTAATCTTGCGGAAAGTGTTATGTAAGCGACTGAAACATACCATCTTCATTTATTATTTTAATTAATTAATTTTTTTTATTGATTTTTTTCACAGTAATTTGACCTTAATTGTTGCTTGGACATTGACTGCTTTTATGAATTCCTATTATGTTGGACGTTGACTGCTTTTATGAAATATTATATTGCTTGGACAGAAAAAATATACTAAATAATTTTTGTAGGTCCAAAAGGTTTGCCACGTAAGATTCATGAATTAGATGAAAATAATAATTGAAAATATAAAATAATCGTTGCAACTTTCATTTTTTATTTGGAAATATAAAATAATTAAAATATATAATGATTAAAGATTTAATTTGACAAGAAAACATAAACTTTTAACCATTACAAAATTTTTTTAATTTTCTCTCTCTCTAAGAAACCTAGCCGCTTCGTCCCCAAATCGTACCCTAGCTTCCGTCGTCGACAACTGGCACCTCTCTCGGCAGCCATCCGGCTTGCCGGTGGAGTGCTCACCGCCGTGCATCCTAGTCGCTATCTGCAACACTTCCTTCTTTCTCTCTCTCACCGTGGGGTGCGGTTGCAGGGCTCCGACGGATTTCGTCATTTTCGCTGTTCTGTGATTTGTGGCTCCGGAGCTTCATGGTGGAGATGCTAGATGGAGTGTGTAGCAGTGGCTGGATGCGGCTCGTTGAGTTGTGTCGTCCCTGTTCTTTTCTCCCCATTTCAGCCTTAGCCGGTGGCCGCCTGTCCGATCACTGTGGTGTTGCATGTTTTCAGTTCGGCTTTCTGTTGGCCGGCGTAATGGCGAGGCAGCGGGAGGGCTGCATCCCGTCCTCAAAGACTGAGTGTGGTGGGATTCGAGCTTTGGTTGGATCGTCTCCTACTGCCGGGCTGGTAGGATATCCTGATTGTGGGTCTTCGGGTTTGGCCGAAGTCTGGCTCCTGGCACCTCAGCTGTGCTGTAGTGGTGGGTCGGGATTCGTCCTTGCGGGCTGGGTGGATAGGTGTTTGGTTCGGGCTAAGTTTGTTCCGTCGAGCAGGGCAGATGCGGCTGAGCCCTAAGGTCATTCGCCCCCTTCCTACTCTAGCTTGATTTCCGAGCTTGTGGGAGGCCGTCTGTTCCTGGAGTTGGCTAGTGGTGTTAGGCAACTTTGGGACGGTTTCGGATTGGCTAGTGGTGTTAGCCGATTGGGAGGCAATTGTGACTTCTTGCGGTCGGTGTGCGGGTCGGTATCTTTTGGTTTGTTCAGGGGCTAAGGTCTTCGTCTTGCTAGGCCTTATGCAGTGGCGGGCGGGGTTCCAGAGCTTCGGAGCTCTCCTCGGAGCTGGCTTTGTCTGCTGCCTTTCCTGGATGTTGTAGCTGAGGGTGGCATAATATTTTGTTGATTATGTTTATTTAGGTTGTGTTGTTGTTTTTGTGTGTCGCTTTGTCTTGTTCTTGTTTTGTGTTGTTTGTGTTTTAGGTTTGGGCATTAGCCTCGGTTAGCCTGAGTGTGACTTTATTATCCTGTTGGGACCATACACTCGGGCATTATCCTGTTGGGATCTTTTTGTTTGTTTGTTTTTTCTCCCCTTGGGAGTTTTTAGTGTTGTAGTGTTTAGTTTCTAGGTTCGAGTATTACCCCGTTGGGGTCGGTTCTAGGCGGGCTTTGGCCCTGTCCTCCCAGTTTTTCTGATGTTGGCTGTTTGTATTCAGCTGTTGACTGTCTATATTCAGCTCGTGGCTGTATCTTTTGCACATTTGTGCACTTTTTATATAAAAATCTCTATCGTTTCGAAAAAAAAAATCATTTTTTTTATGGCCAAATCTATAATAATATAAAAAGATTTGATAATTACCTAAAAAAGCAACTAAAATCCTGCCAAAACATTTCGTTTTTACTCTTATTAGTAACTTTTTCTGAATTCTTTTAATAATTGGCGGTTATATTTTGAAATTCAAATTACATGTCAATAAAATCTGTACAATATTAAATTAGTCAATAATTGCGGCCATGTCTATATATATATATAATTGCTAGCTAATCCCATTTAATTAAACATTTAATAAAAAAATTTTCACTTTCCCTCCAAAAGAAGTTACATTTTTTTAATTAATTACTCATTAATCTCACATTTAAGAAAGTTTTTTATAATTAAATTTAATTAGTTAATGATTAAATTAAAAAAATTTATTTTAATTAATCCCACATTTATGTTAAGTACAGTATTATCTTAATATCTTATCAGATTTTAAAAAAAATAGTAACTTTTTTCAATAAATTTTATAAAAATTAGTCAAATGTGCTTATATTCATATAAATCAGAAAAAAAAAATTAAATCTTAGATATATAAAAAGAACATCGTTGAAATAACTTGAATCCGCAAGGGTAATTCTATACTCATTATCAATTACTTTAAATTTTTTGTATATATAAAAAATTAATATGATATTTACTCATTTGTATATAGATGGTATTTTTTTTATTAAGAAGCAAGGACAATCTCTATCAATCAATAAGAGTCAAGAACAAACAATATAAAGAAGTGTTTCCTATGCTATGGCATGATCAATAAGAGTCAAAGACAGTCTCTGTCCACGTCGGCTTACTACTGAAGAGCTCTGCATTTAGTCATGAGCAATTATACGTGGCGCTTTTTAGAGTTACGAGTCAGTGGGGTTTGAAGATTTTGATTTGAGTTGAGAGAGATTTTGACGACAGAAAAACCACGACGTTGTTTTATAAAGAAGTGTTTAAAAATATTTATATTTTTTTTCTTAATTATTTTCAATGAATTTGTTATGATTTTTACTATTGTTTATAATTTTTATTATTTTTTCATGTATCATATAGTTTTCCGTGCAAATGCACGAGACAAAAACTAGTTATGTTCAATTGTGTGCGAGATACGAATTTAAAAAGGTCAAT